TAGGGAAAGGCCAAAGTGTTTGTTGGGTCTCAATAGGTCTCATGTGTTAGCACTCAGGTTACTATAAATTGTTGATGAGCAGGCATGACACAAAACAGTACATCACAGTGTATACAACTTGCAAAGTGGGCAACGATAGGCCAGCAGGAAGGAAGAGGCACAATGGCATGGAGGTAATAGGAAAGCCAAGAAGTGCAACCCTGGGAAGTGGGGGCGATTATTGCAGTTTAGTGACAAATAAAGGACATTCCCCTCCTCTGAGTAAAATTTCAGGGCTTAGATTTCATTCCCTAGGGTATTTGGTTTGAATTAATTCAACATTGCATAAAGTGCCTGGAGTCTCAAGCTGGATTAGTGTTAATAAGCTTCTTTCTGGGTGCCAGTTAGGTTCATCTACTTATTAGCAGAGAAGAGATGGGATTGCCTTCCCTGTGCCTTTGGCAGCCTGATTCACTGAAGATTAAAACAAGGTTATTAAACCTGTGCTTTTTTAAACTTAAAAGCAGGACATTTTGGAGCTCATCTGAGTACTACCAAAAGGGAGACAAGGTTTTTGACTACGGGGAGAAACTGTTTACACTTTCTGTGACTTAACTGATAATTCAAAAGACGAAAGTGAACCTGAAAAAACTGTTCAAGTTGAACAGTAATTTAAGGTCCATCTGTCAATCAACAAATAGTTTAGCAAGTGGCTTTAGAGAGAGAATGAAAGACAATGCAAACGCATATCACTGGGGCATTTTCCTGATCTGAATGTTTGTAATGTCTAACATTTGCTTCTATAATAAATCTGTGCACATTCTTTGACAACATGATACTAGGTGTTATGATTTACAAGATAATCTCATTTCCCTTTCAAAACCTCTAATGTTTTTGTCCTCTTGAAACTGGGGCTCTAAAACAAATTGCAAAACAATATACACTGACAAATTTTGCTTTACTGCATAAAAAATGATAGTACGTAAGAAAATGGAATTTCTAAAAATGGCTCATATTTTGTGGTGGTGACATTGAAGGAGATGTCCCAGCCCTTCTGAGCCTTAGCCTATCTGACTAGTCTGATGGATTAAATCTATTGTTTTTATGCCCTTTAGGGAAAAATACTTAGTGATTTGAGAAAGAATATCAATGGCCCAGTGTCTGCTTCTGTTACAGTTACCTGCTTTCAGTCCTAACAGGGACGGATCCTACCTGGGAGAAACAAAAATAATCTAGGGGGAAATATTTAATCCATCATTATTTAATCCATCTCAAGCCTGTTTCAATTCACAGGCAATGTTGTTGAGAGACAACATATTCAACTATCCCCATTCTCCTTTTATATGGAATATCGCCTCTAAACTGCAATTGGAGAGCTACTGGTCTGGGAAAACTGGAAGGATGCAGGTTTTTCCTTTGGTATTTCCCACTCCACCCCCAGATTTCCTGCAGTTTTTGTCCATGTACAAACCTTCTTCCACACTTTATATAAGTGTTTAGACACTTCGCCAGCAACCTTGGTTTTCAGAGGGAAAAATAAAAATAGCACTTAATTAAAATGGAGCATGGAAGCCAAAAGGTATCATGGTGATTAAGTGTTCACAGCATTACATTCCCCACCCATTATTGGGAATCTTGCATCTTAATTCAATATAAAGCCTGAGAATAGGTACAGTAAATAGATGAACCAAGTACTGGGTCCCACAGAAGTTACTTCTACTAGGTGGTGCAACCTGATTTTCACTTTTCCTTTTGCACACCAAAAAAAATGTCTTAAAGTTCTTTTGAATATGCACATCTATGCTGCAGAATTAAAAGGTCTTCATCATTCCTTAAGAAGACATGTTAAAGGCATTTATAACCAGATTAGTCAATCGACCAATGAGAAAATAGGCTTTTTCTAACAATTTTCCCTATGGACCCTGCAAAAGGCTGACATGAAAAGATTGGCCATTTCCTCCCTTGACACCTGAGAAGGATAGGTTGGCTTCCCCCATTGCTTTAAGGTTCAATCAGCCTTCTCAGGAATTGAGCCCAAGTCACCTGAAGAAAGAAATATTATTGCAAACAATGAAGAGATAAAGAAACAAATTGAGAAAACACTTTCATCTAATTCGATTTTGCTTTTGTTGGAAAAACACCAGTAGAATGTGCATAATATTGACGTGTATAAATAGCTGGAAAAGCATAACAATAGCTTCATCTATTTCATCACACATCTGAGCCAAAAAGATGTTTCTTTAACAGGTTTTGTTCCCTCTTCAGCTCTGTACATTAAATGGAGTGGAGAGGGAGAGAGAAGCATGTATAGAGAAGCAGACATTTAAAAAAAAAAACATTATAGGTTTTTAATCCATAACAATATTATTTTCTTTCCTTGTGTTCCCTGTAGCCCAAATTCCATATCCATTATAGAGGCTAGGTTGATGCCTTGTGCTCTTTCAGAGCATGTTAACCTAACAGACAAGGAAATCAGAGTGAAGAAGCCCAAGAGAGAGACAGAGAGACAGAGACATAGAGAGAGAGAGGAAGAGAGGAGATGAAGAGAGAGGGCATTTTTAAAAGGGGAAACCTGCGTGACTAGTGTGAACTCTCAAAGCTGTGAACTAATTACTTCCCTCAGACATTTCAGCACTGGTGGTCACCTTTTACATTCAGCCTAATTAATCTTTGTTTATTTTAATTAAGCTATTTGGGGGTGAGGTATAGTTAGGACCTTAAAAAAAATGTGTCTCAGTTAACAAAAGCAACAAAACAGAAATAGAAACCTTATCTCATTTTAAAAATCAATGGAAATATTTCAACTAAGTAAAACTGATTGTTCCCAAAGCCATTCTTTTACATTAAGCTTTTTGTCCCCTATAGTGAAAAAAATGTTGGCTTATAGAGTTTTGGTGTTCAGACAGTTGTTCTGGGGGCTACAAAATCTTGTTTTTAAGGTTCTACAGGGCAAAGTCTTCACACTATAAGTGTTAATTATCCCAATGCATAGCTGTGAATACTAACATTGGTGTAATAAAGAGGAGGCAAATTATTTTATTATTATTATTATTAATTAAATAGCTTACATTTGCATTGCTCTAAATAGTAACAAGAATGGAACTCAAATCATTGAGAGGTTGTAAATTATAACTAAATAAGCCTAAAATCAGAACTCAACATTAAAATCCATTTTTTGGCATATTTCCTCCTAAAATTAGGGATGCAAAGTTAGTTTGCTTCAGTAAGCCTTTTCTGTCCTACTTTATTTTGTCCCTCTGTCACCAGGCTCAAAATGGAGTAAAATTAAAATTCATTTCTAAGTAACCCTTGGATGCCATTCCAAATATAAGTTATTGACAGCTTCTGATTTCCCAAGTCTAAACTCAATTTCTTAAAACCTTTGAGAAATGAGGCTAATGACATCCACCCCTAAGGTTATATTTATGTAATAATATAATGATACTTGTATCTAAACCAAGCACTATATAGCCATTAGCATTGCTATTAATAGCACACACAATTTAAGAATCTAGCACATCAACATGTATCCGCATATCAGGGAGAGAGATCTAGAAAACTGGACGTAAATGAAAATGCTGAGAGAATCACTTTATCATTTCCCTACTTGTTTGTGCAAGTAAAAATGTATGAGCAGTGCTTTTTTTAAATTTTCAAATTTATTATTGAGGAGGTTACCTTTTCAGTTCCTTCCTCTTTGAGACTAATAATGTCCAGATCAAAATCCTTCCTCAAGCCGTTGGTTTTATTGAAGGTGATACGCCCAGTCAAGCCATCCCACTGAGCCTATGAACAAAAGGAACGTGGCATTACTGTTTAACACTTATCATAAGTCTAACACCATTTAAACTGTAATACCTCAAATTCATCACAGTATCCAATTATTTGTTTTCATGGTGTTATAAATCATTGTGTTGGTTCAGTAACTTGATACCAGAACACTTCACTGTTTTATTAGCACTCATTTATTTCGTCAGTTCTAACATTTTAACATCAGTCAAATCTGTAATAGTGGCACTTTAAATGGGGAGTTTGGAAAGAATGACTGTAAAATGGTCTGCACATGGAGTAAACAAAATCTGGGAAGTCATAATATTCAGCTTTCTAAGGTCAATCGAAATACTTTTCAAGGTACTTCTCAAGGAAGTAACTCCCTTTTTTTCTATGTGAAAATGATATAATCCAGTGATCTATTATCAAATTTTTAGTGTGTTTGTGATTTAGTCTTTCCAATGTCATTTGGGTATTATATTACTTTTCTGTGGCTGATGTAGCAAATTATTACAAGCTGGTGGCTTAAAACAACAGAAAGTTATTCTCTCACAATTCTGGAGGCCAGAAGCAGAAGTCCAAAATCATTATCACTGAGTGAAACCAAAGTGCCAGCGGGGCCTTGCTCCCTCTGGGGGCCCAAGGGAGACTCGGTTTCTTGTCTCTTCCTGCTTCTGATAGCTGCCAGCAATCCTTGTCTTGTGGTTGCATCACTCCAATCTCTGCCTCTGTGGTCACTTTGCCTTCTCCTCTTCTTCTTCTGTGTAATCTCCTCTACTTCTCTCTTATAAAGACAGTTGTGATTGCATTTAGGGCCCATACAAATAATCCAGGATAATCTCCCCATCTCAAAAATCCTTCATTTGGAGTGACATCACCAAGACTGTGACACAGAATTTTCCTGGCTTCCCTCCTCTTCACAAGGAGAAAATTAACTACTATTCAAGGACAAGACACTACTGAGAGAATCCTAGAACATGGGGATGAGGCTGAAGCACCACCCCTCGCCCCTGCTCCCACACCACAGAGACCAAGAGAAACTGCATTAGAAGGTAAGAGAAGTGGCTACACGTTGACTGCATTGTCCTTTTCCCAAGCCAGCACAGCAACACACAGAGAGGTCTCTCCTGAGCCTCTGGTTCCTCCAGGGGGAAAAGAGAACCCAGAGGAAAACCAGCTCTCCCAGCATTGTGGGTAACATTGCAGGAGCCCCTACTCTGATCTCGCCCCTCAGGGATTGCTTGGGAATCTGTGGGGCTGGACCACTGGAAATCTGACAGTGATGGAGATGTGGGGAGGTGTTCGCAGTGACCACCACACAGATCTTGGCAGACCAAGTTCATTCCTGCAGTTTCCAAGTAGTAATCCTAACCAGAGGCTTTACTTATCTGAAAAATCTAGTTGGAGGTACATTCTGATCAGAGAACTAGGTAGGCTATAGATTTACTTGATTCAGATCCTCAAACAAGGAGTTTTGCCAGTGTTGGAGCCTGGTTTGCCCACATCCAGGCAAGGAGTTGAATCACAGCCCCACCTGCTGTGAAGATTGTCTTGTGACCCCATCTGGCCAGAAGGGCTGGAGACAATTCCAGGAAGCTATGTGATCCAGTGGCACATGAACCAAGAGGTGGGCAGAGCCTAGAGTTTGCAGAGCAAAGCCAATGGCCCTGTTCAGTTAGGGAACTTGTAATGTAGGTCAGCTTCAGTTAAGACAACAAACAGCTTTACTGGATTTAGAGTTGCTTGTCCTGCTGTGCCTGGACAAGGAATCTAATTCATAGCTCTACTCATTGCTGAATACAGCCTTCATCTTATCTGGACAGGGAACTGAACTGGAGCACACAGAAATAGCCCATTCATCAGCCTTATGTACAGTGGTACAGGAACAGAAAGCAGAGCTTATGGCTTTCCCAGTCTGCAGAGCAAAACTTGTGGCCTCACCTGACCAAGGAATCAGTGCATACTATTTGAATACCCAAATAATGAGGGCGAACCCAGGCCCTGGGTCTCATCGTGCTGTCCTGCCAGGACAAGGAAGCTAATTTGTAGCCCCATCTACTACTGTATGTATTACCTAGTCCCAACCTTCTAGTAAGCCTTACCAGAGAATCCAGGCAACCATGGAGCCCATCCTATAGCCTTACTTGGGTCAGAAACCAAGCCAGCAATCCCATCCAACTGTTCCCAGACAGTGCCACAATCCTCATCCTTGTCCTTAGAGTTTGAATTGTTGCTTTGCCTCAGAATAGACCATAATAGCAGGCCCCACCTGCCCAAGGATATTACCAGCAGACACACCCAGAAATTTAAACTAAGCTGACTGGTCAAAAACTGTCTTTGCCAGAGCAAACTTGTAAAATCTGGAAGAAGAACCCCAAAACCCAAATGTGCAGATGCCAATGTAAGGAATCAAGGATCACAAAAAATCAGGTCAATATGACACCACCAAAGGAAACAAATAACTAAAAAATAGGGATCTGTGAACTGTCAGACAAAGAATTCAGAATAATCCTCTTAAGCAAGTTTAGTAAACTACAAGAAAACACGAACAGACACTAAATGAAATTAGGAAAACAATGCATGAACAAAATGAGAAATATGATAAGGAAATAGCAACTATCAAAAAAAAAAGAACAAACCCAAACAAAACAAAAAACCAAACAGAAATCCTAGAGTTGAAAAATGCGATAACTGAACTGAAGAATTCAGTAGTTTCATAAGTAGACTTGACCATGCAGAAGAAGGAAGGTCTGCAAGATAGGACAGTCAAAATTACCCAGTCAGAGGAGCAAAAAGCATTTTTTAAAAGTGAAGAAATCCTTTGGGAATTATGGGACACAGTGAAAAGAAACAATATTTGCATTATGGGAATCCAAGAAGGTAAGGAGAAAGAGAAAGGGACAGAAAGTATATTTAAAGCAATAATGGTTGAAAACTTCCTGAACCTCGGGAGAAAAATGGACATCCAGATCTATGAGGCACAAAAGATCCCAAATAGGTTGAATCCAAATAGGACTCATTATAATTAAATTCTCAAAAGTCAGAAAAAATGGATTTTTTTTATGAGAGAGAATGTTTTATTTTATAGATACATAACTATAGAATATATATAGTTTTTTTATATTATATGTCTGTATATCTATTATAGTATATATATAAAATATGATTATACACACACATACATTCAAGACAATACTTTTAGTGGTTCTGATAACATAAAGCACAAAGATTTAAAATAATATTTGAATAATTACAAAAGTTTTCATACCAAACACAGTGCAGATGACTTATGGAAACACTTTCTAAGAACACTCATTTTTACTGATTCAATCTTTTCAAACATGATCTCAACCAATACAAAGAACTTAATAATGATGTATATAAATCACTATAAATGTACTCTAATTTGATCAATAAGCCTATCAACTCAAAAAAATAACAATATTCATTTTCTTCCTCCTGGAAATAGGATTCTCTTCAGAATGGTTTATTATTTGTTGGTAACTTTCATTATCTTATGTTCAAGTTATACTTAAGAATTAAATAACTATATTGAATTTGTATTTTTCATTTTTTTTGAAGTATAGTTGATTTACAATATTATAGTAGTTTCTGGTGCACAACAATGATTCAGTATGTTTATAGATTATACTCCATTTAAAGTAATATCAAAACAATGGCTATGGGTTTCCCTGGTGGTGCAGTGGTTGAGAGTCCACCTGCCAATGCAGGGGACACGGGTTCGTGCCCCGGTCAGGGAAGATCCCACATGCCACAGAGTGGCTGTGCCCATGAGCCATGGCTGCTGAGCCTGCGCGTCCGGAGCCTGTGCTCCGCAGCGAGAGAGGCCACAGCAGTGAGAGGCCTGCATACCGCAAAAAAACAAAAAAAACCAAAACCAAAACAAAACAAAACAAAACAAAAACAATGGCTATATTTCCCTGTGCTGTACAATATATCCTTGCTGCTTATCTATTTTATACATAGTAGTTTATATCTATTAATCCCATACCCCTATCATACCCCTTCTCCCTTCCCTTTCCCCACTGGTAACCACTAGTTTGTTCTTTATATCTGTGAGTCCCTTTCTGTTTGGTTATATACATTATTTGTTTTATTTTTTAGATTCCACATATAAGTGATAATGTAGAGTATTTGTCTTTCTCTGTCTGACTTATTTCACTAAGCACAACACCCTCTAGGCCCATTCATGCTGTTGCAAATGGAAGGATTTCATTCTTTCTTATGTCTGAGTAATATTCTTTATCCATCCATCTGTTGATGGACAGTTATGTTGTTTCTATATCTTGGCTACTGTTAATAATGCTGCTATGAGTATTGGCATGCATGTATCTTTTCAAATTAGTGTTTTTCTTTTCAAAGAATTTTAAGAACAACAAGAGAAAGAGAGAAGTTACACACAAGGGAAACCCTGTAAGACTATTGGTGGATTTCTCAGGAGAAACTTTTCAGGCCAAGAGAAAATGAGATGAAATATTCAAAATATTAAAAGAAAATAACTGCCAGGTTTCCCTGGTGGTGCAGTGGTTGGGAGTCTGCCTGGCAATTCAGGGGACACGGATTCATGCCCCGGTCTGGGAGGATCCCACATGCTGCAGAGCGGCTGGGTCCATGAGCCATGGCTACTGAGCCTGCACGTCCGGAGCCTGTGCTCTGCAATGGGAGAGGCCACAGCAGTAAGAGGCCTGTGTACCACAAAAAAAAACCCAAAACAAAACAAAGCAAAAAAAGAAAATAACTGTCAACCAAGAATTCTATTCCTGGTGAAGCTGTCATTCAGAAACAAGGGAGGAATAAAGACTTTTCCTGAGCAAACAAAATCTGAGGAAGTTCATTACCACTAGAACTGCCTTACAAGAAATGCTAAAGGGAGTTCTTTGAGTCGAGAAAAAAGAATGCTAAATATCATAAAAACATAAAAAGATGGATGTTAGCTGAATCTACTGTGGTAATCAGTTCATAAGATCTGTAAATCAAACCATCATGATCTTCTC